TTTCAAGAGGCTTCACAGAGGTATATGATGATATTTATCGCAATAATGTGTTTAGAACAACACGTCAACAATTTAATGATATACACATATATACATATATTACAATATACATGTATACATGTATATTCTCGAATCCCCCACGACCGGTACTCCAGAGAGATGATAATCCTATTCTCTTGATGGATGCAGGTCGAACTGCAGCGGTAACACTCTTCAACGTCATTGGCAAATAATCTTTCTGAAGCACGACAGGAGAGATTGCATCAAGCATAGCTCGAGCCTCCGATATATTTCACACAAACATAATCCTGAAATAATATACCTATACAGCACAGAAGGTTTCAGAAGGCTTTCGGAAATTTTTCAAAAATACTTAAATCTTTCTAAAATCTTTTTGACAATTTCTAATCATGCTATATGGATAAATATGCACAGCGACATACGACATATGAGTACGACACACGATGTCCAATAGGAGAATAGCTTTCCAATGGAGAATTGAATTTTCTGTTAGAAAGCTGTTTTTAATAATCATATTTTAATATAATGTCTCTGAAATTTTTGTTGTGTACAGCATAAAAAGTTTCAAAAAGTTTTCAAATATCTTTCAAAAATATTTCAACCTTTTGAAAGTTTTCTGAAACCTTCTATTGTGTATGGTATTTTATATTTTATTTTAGAGATTAAATAAGAAATATTTCTATTAAATGTCTTGGTAACATGTTAGGAATATTTCAAAATTAGCTGCCACATAATATTTCAATGTAATATTTCTGAAATGTTTTAACAATATATGTTATAAATATTACGTACGAAATATTTCTATGAAATGTTTCAAAATATTTCTGAAATATTTTAGTAACAAAAGTAAGAAATAATTTCAACGAAATATTTTCCAAACATTTCAGAAATATTTCTATGTTACATTTCAATATTAATTTCCGACTTATCTTTCCGAAAGATTTCTGAGATATGTGCTGTATGGGTATTAATTGTGCACTTTGTCATACGTTTTGCATTTTATTTTTTAAGGATGCAAATATACGTATTCATTTAACAAATTGCATGTAATAATTTGTATGCAAGATGGAACCGAATGTTATCTAGTTTTTAAAATTATAATGATTTGCTTGTTATACGGATATATTAGCATAAAATACAAAAAGCGATAGCATCGTATCGTTTTAGATAGTCTTTTTCCTGTTAAAACGAAAATAATATTTTTAACTGTTTGGATATAAATAGATATAAATTATTAATTTCTTGATATTTAAAAGAGATAATTAAGATTTCTTGAAATAAAAGTGCAATATTTATAATTATCACATTTTTTAAGTAAGTTTAAATTTTTTAAATTTAAATTTTTCAGGTTCTAAAAATATTACTCGTAAAAATTAAACTTCATATATCAAACATAATCTTTTTTCTTTTTTGTTCTTATTTATTATCTAGTAATTACATCATATCATTATCATAATTACATCTTCACTATTCAAAAATTTATATTTGTGTATTTTTTAAACACTTGAAAAATCATGATAATCATAATCGTAAAATCGATATCATAATCATAAACGAATCAAATATGCCCTTGATGTAAATAATTTTAATTCGCATAATTATCATGAATTAATTATTAATAATATTAACATCAATATTTATAGTAACGTGAACCGAATATATTTGATAGTTTATACGAGTACAAAACTTTTGTTTTGATATCTTCAGAAAGACTGCAAAAATAAATGTGTTTTTTTTAAATCAATATTAATTTAATTAACATTAATTTAATATTTATCTTTACATTATAATGCATTATATTCGTATATTATAGTGATTTCTCAATCTATCGACAAAAAATTCAATCAAATTGGACTTAAACTCTAATGTGATACTTTATCACATTATATCACATTTTATTTGAAAAAAATTTTATAAATCAAATTTTATAATTTTTTTTAAAAGAAAAATTTATTTAATAGAACATTGCTTCTTCCTTTGTTTCAATAAAGATCACTTGTGATAATCGATCAACGACTGCAAGACAATGGATTATTTTCAAGTATTGTGCAGCATTGCCGCCGTAATTCTCGCTCTTTATTATTTTTTCACATCAACTTTTGATTTTTGGAAGTCACGCGGTGTTCCTGGTCCACAACCAATAGTGGGATTTGGCAATTTAAAAGACGTTATGCTTGGAAAAATAGCGATGAGTAAATTTCTCATGAAAATGTACACTGATTACAAAGATGAACCATTGATTGGAATATTCGTTCACAGGACACCTATTCTTATCATAAAAGATCTAGATTTAATTAAAGATGTTCTTATCAAAGATTTCAATAGTTTCGGTAACAGAGCGTTCACCGTTCACGAAAAGGTACGAACACTTATTTAAGATCGTTTATTTAAAATCTGAATGATACATGTCAGTCATTTGCAAAGACTACATTTATATTTAAATTAAATTGTGGATGTTACATATAAAAATCACAAACAATTATTTATATCTAATTTAATAGAAATTGATTTTAAAGTCTATTTAATCGACTCCAATTGTTTTCGTCTTATCGTAGGCCGAGCCATTGTCGCAAAATATTTTCAATTTGGATTTGAAGAAATGGCGACCTTTGAGGGCGAAACTGACGCCTTTTTTCACAACCCGTAAACTGAAATATATGTTCTTTTTAATATCGGAGTGCGCCGATCATCTTGTGGATTATGTAGAACAATTAGTGAGCAAAAACGAAATCGTAGAATGTTATGCACTAACAAGCAAATATACGACCGACGTTATCGGTAGCTGCGCCTTTGGTATTGAGATGAATTCAATGACGGATGAAACCAGCGAATTTTGCAGAATAGGAAGAAATATATTCATTCAACCCTTCACGGATTATCTTCGAACCAAAATTAAACAGAATAGTCCATGGCTTTATGACATCCTCGGTCATATCCTGCCGCAGACGGAGATCACCAAGTTCTTCATACGTCTTGTCATGGATAATATAAAGTACAGGGATAAAAATAATATCGTTAGGAATGATTTCATCGATATACTGCGCGAATTAAGAGAGCAATCAGATAATGACATTGGTAAACACCGATTGCATTGTTATTATCATTGTTTGTTGGACGACAAGAAACTTTTTAACAAAAAACTAAACAACTTGGTAAATCCACGTGTAATTACGTGAATAATAAAGCAAAGTTTTAATTTTGTTTTATACATATACGCGCGCACCACACACACACACACACACACACACACACACACACACACACACACACACACACACACACACACACACACACACACACACACACAATTATTAAATTAGTTGTGATATTCAACAAAAATTAATTATCTATATAAAAAGAACTAAATCACATTTCAGAATTTACTGATAGTTTCCTAGTTTCTCAAGCATTCTTATTTTTTTCCGCTGGTTTTGAAACTTCATCGACGGCTATGACTAACGCGTTCTACGAGTTGGCTCTAAATCAAAAGATACAAGACAGATTGCGTGAAGAAATTAATCAGAGTTTTGCAAAATATGGTAACAATTTATCATATGAGAATATCAAGGAAATGATTTATTTGGACAAAGTATTTAAAGGTACATATGTTTGAAAAAAATTAAATCTAAAAAAATATTAATTTATAAAAAAGATCAATTTTTGCAGCTATAATATAAGTAATGCATAGCTAGTAAAACTAACTGGAAATCATTTAATGTATATAAACGCATTTCTCTAGTTTATCATTATTATTATTTTATCATTATTTTTAATGCAGAAACTTTACGGAAATATCCAGCGGGATTGTTTCTTAATAAAATAGCGACATCCGATTATACTTTCAAAGGAACGAAAGTCAGTATATTAAAAGGCCAAAATATATGGATTCCTTTTTATACGATTCAACACGATCCAAATATTTATCCTCAGCCAGATATCTTTGATCCAGAAAGATTTAATGAAGAGATCGTGGAAAATAGACATCCGATGGCTTACTTGCCTTTCAGCGATGGACCAAGAAATTGCATTGGTATAGGGAAAAAATTTATATTTATATCATCTTCCATTTTTTTCCGCATCTTCTATTTTTTTCACTAAAAAATATTTTTAATCAAAAAGCTTGATCTGATTTATATGATTATTTTTACTTTTAGGTTTGCGTTTTGCTATTTATGAGACTAAACTTGGTCTTATAAAAATGTTACGGAACTTTAAATTTGAACCTTGTGAGAAGACGCAAATACCTTACATAACTAATGAATCAACGTTTGTATTATCACCAAAAGATGGAATATACTTAAAGATATCTAAAATTAATCAAGCTTAATTACAGCTTTTGTAGAAGACATATAAAAAATGGTGGAGGAAACTTCTAAAATTATAATAATGTCAGACATGTGTGTTTCACTTTGTATCTATTTTTACACACATGTTTCACTTTGTATCTATTTTTACACAAATGTAAAAATATAAAAATGTATTTATTCAATACACATATTGGATAATAATAATTTTGTATGCAAAACGACTCATTGAATGATTTTTATCTAGACTTCTTGAATTTTAACTATTTGCTCGACATATAGCATAAGATATAAAAAGTAACAACGTAATATATTGTGGACAATAACGTACATAGGAATCGGGCCAAGAATAATTGCATCGGATTTGAATGTAAAAAGCATTATATTATTTTGCACACCAAAGTCTCTCTCCACTCTTTTAATCACCAATTCCTCTATCTCTTATACGATAATTCGTTCTTCTTGCTTCACTACTTTCTTCTTCATTATTACTATAGCTCTTCTCGATTGAAGAGCTCTCTCTCTCTCGCTTTCCATACATATACATCCACGCACACACATTACGCGCGCGCACACACATACACACATTCTATTGCTTGTAATCCTTATATCACTAATTTATATCGCATTATATAATTACAATTTTATCGCATAATTACATAATCATTTTCTTTCGAGTTTTTTAAGACATCGGTTTCAGACATATCAAGATCTCTGAGTTGTGGTGACATTGGAACATAATTAGAATGATCTGTGAAACTAGTTTCTTGTGTATGTACTATATTCTGTAATCTTGTTTCAAAATGATTCAAAATTTCTAGATGAGATTGTCTCGTATTCATTCTAGTAAAAAAAAAAAAATCGAATTATTTATTAATTTACTCTAATTTCATATTCAGTGTCTCTTTCTCAAGAGACAATCAGAAGATACCTAAAGAAAAATTTACGATCATACCTATCTTTTTCTATATGTTCTGGCCACTGCTTCCATCGTGGTGGCAATGTCGGGGCTTCCATTTCAAAATTGCATGGAATTTTATTTATATTGTCACACGTAAGTGAAGTTTTTGGCTCAAAAGAATGGACATCATCCCTAATTTCTTCATAGATACCAGAGGCAACAGAAATATTGGATTCCTCATGATTGTAGGAATCTAGTTTTTCATTAGGTTCCAGTTGATATATATTTTCCACAGCTTTAGTAGAAATCGATGTCCTTGAACTATTTTTTTACATTTTTTGAAAATGTAATTATATACACTACACTACACAGATAATACTTTATTTAACTTTCTATATGTACAATGATACATACCAATTGGCGTCCGCATTAGAAATACAAAAAGTTGCATCACTTTTTTGCTGCAAGGGTAGATTATCAATCGCGATTTCATCGCGTTGCATCATTTCAAGATTCTCACTATTAGAATATAAAAATCTTCGTCTATGTTTTGGACCGCGACCCTGCGTTACCAAGTCTTGCAATAATTTATTAGCATCTAAACAGAAAATGTGAAATTCTCCGATGCCACAGCGGAATTCTTTGCTGGTATGCATTACACAAATACGTTTAACATCTTCTGGACGGCCTGCTGTCATCAGATGGAATTGACTAAATTCCTTCCATTGAAAAGTTTCAGCTACATCGCCCGTGTGAATATTTCTAATAAAAATTCCCATTTCGTTAGCAATCAAGTCACCGTATAAACCTAACAAAAAATGAAAAAAAAAAAAAGAATTTCAATAATCATAGAGAAAGTCAACAAAATAGTTTCAGATACAAGCCATTAAAGTAAAAATTTCTTATTAAATTAATTAAAGATTAATTAATTAGAGATTTTAGATAATTTTCTTTTTATTCTTGAAGTTAGAGAATATATGGAATTGTATTATATATTATAATATATTATAATATATATTTTATATATACAGTCTGTCAAGTAAGAGATCGAATTAATTTATAAAAAAAAAATGAATTATTAAAAGTTTTCAAATATATATATGCATTTTACTCGATTAGGACAAAGATGCAATTATGTTAATAATGCGTTCAGCCACTGGCGTCAATAATTGCTTGGCTCCGAGACATTTTCGATCAAATCGACGGCGTATTCTAGCGGCAAGGACCTCCAAATCCGACGAATCTCGCGAGATGATTGCTTCAAACAATTTTAAAGTGTACTTGCGTTTGCCACGAAGTTTATATATATTAATATAACACACGTTTTCAATGGGATTTGCATCGGGTAACTGCGATGGCCAATCCAATGTAACAATGCAGATCGCTTTTTCCACTCTTACAGAGCTTGCTGTGATATTTGGAATCGTTATTTTCCCGTCTTAACGTGTTTCTCTTATAAAAAATCAATGACAACTGAATCTTTCTTAACAGTGCATCAAGGACAAAGTTTCCATCTATTAACTTACAAAAGATTTAGAATCATATTTTTTATCAGCTATGAGTAAGGCCATGCTCTTACTTGACAGACTGTATATACATAAATCATTAATATCCAATATTAAGCGGTTTTATAACTAGAAAATAATAAAAAATATATACACAATAAGATATATACAATAAGATACATATACAATAAGATACCTATTTTATAAGATACAACTATTTCAAAGTTGCAATAATTCTGTAATTTTACCTGACATTTTAAAAAATACTTAAAAAATCTGAGTTCCCATAGAATTTTTTTTATGTTTGAATATATATCCTGAATAAGTAATTAGTAATATGATTAAAAGGCATAATATTAATATGTTTAATTAATGATTTGATATACTGATTAAACTTAACAATATTATTTAATTCATATATAATTGTTCAATTGTTTTGATTTGTAATTGTTATTCTTTTTCTTGATATTATATACAAAGTTGAAATAAGCTCAAATAATTATCAATTAAATTTCATTTTTAATAACAAAATAAAATATTTTAATTGTGTATTTTTAAAAAGAATGTGAAAACTTCTCACTAAAAGAATGTGAAAACTTCTCACTAAACTTCAACTAAATTTTAACAAGCAATAATCATACCAACCAGTTATACCTGCCACCTTTGAATGGGTGTTGTCAATCATAGATATCTGATATGACTTTTCCGCAAAACAATATTTTTTGGGCTTCAATAAGTATCTGATATTCGCCATCCAACGCTGCGTCTCGGTCTCCGAGTTAGCAGACAGCGACAACAGGGCTTTCCGGTCCCTTGCTAGTGCTATACAGAATGCAAATCGTTTGGTTCTAGAACGAACACGATATAGAACGGCATCCGATGGTATCTCGACGGAATCACCCTTCTCGTTTTGCTTCACATTGCCGAGCTTCAGATCAAATTGCACCTGCACGCCAAGCCCAGATTTCAGTTTCTTCACCGAGCACCACGTTCGTTTCCATACCCTCGACAGCGCCAGAGGCTTCTTCTTCATCTTCCGCGCGATGCATTTGTTTCCCGTCAATTTGATATCGAGAAATCCGCAAATTTCCGTGTCGTGCGTGCTCATTTTCTGTAAACAATCGCGTTATAATCAAAAGCTCCAGGCATAATAATCGTGAAACAAAATTGCAAAATCTTTTCTTTATACATAAATTCAATAAAAAGAAAAAAATTACCTCCTAAGATCGAGTTTGTCAAATAGTTGCCTTCTTTATTCAAGTTTTTTCTTTTTTAGAAGTTTCGACATATGCAAAAATCACGAGACAGTTTTGCGACGTTTTCACACTCGGATATGAAAAACAAACAGATTGATTGTAATATAATTCAATAAAAAAAATATATAATTAAATCGAAATATATATTTACTAGTTTGTTGTCTAAACGATCCACTATTGTTCGTATGATTAACATGAGTTTTATCTCTTCAAAGACTCATCGTTTTATCTCTTGTGTTCAAAACTTCTCTCTCTTTTTTTCACCAATATACATATGTATGTATCTATCTTATTTTAAATGCAGGTTTAGTGGACGCAAGCAGAGAGAGCAAAACACAAGCAAAACAGATTCAATTCAGACTGTTCTAAAATTTACTATCAGGCTAATAATATATAGTATATGTCATGGTGTAAGAAGAAAGATGAATCATTGCGCTTAATGGCGGAGATCTGAGATCTTGACCAATCAGAGCTTGAGCTTTTATGCAGCGTGCTGTTTACAAATATCAAAAATGAAATAAGATTGTCTAATGCAATTTAGATAAAAATATGTTGTATTTAATATTATAAAAATAAGATATAACTATACAAATTGTTGACAGTACGATTTACACTTTTAGAATTCTTACTTATATATTGATCAAATTTAATTTTTATTATATGTCAAAATTGTAATCTATTAAGATGTATCACTTATGAGTTTCTGTTAGAGGATTTTTTTAACACGTTCTCATATTTAGGCTGAGTTCGGGGAGCGCGCTATTAGAACTAATGTATCATTCTATCCTTAATTTACGTATAATGAGCAATAAAGATGAAATGATGTGATAGTGCTAATAGCGCACTCCCCGAACGCAGTCTTAGAAGCATTCTGCCATTATTTTTTTGTTCATACAACGCTTAATTACATATATACTGAATTGAAAACGTTTTATATTGTTTTTTAAATGAAGACATTGTTCATGAAGAATTTGAAAACATATTCTGTTAACAAATTATTGTTACTTTTGACCTTCAATTTTATTGTTTTATAATGTATAAGTATTATATAATGTACATTTATATTACAAATGTGTGTTAAAATAAGAGATAATTAATAGGAAATATGATTTTGATTTTACAACAAAAATGTATCACTACATCGTAGCTATTTGTGACATATAAAGTATAAAAAAGAAAAGATTATATTTATAAGCATTCGGAATATAAATTTACCATAGTTGAGCTTTACATCCTCTTACTTTCGTTGACACTTCTCTTCGAGTTACTGTTTTCATAGTTTCATATTCGTTGGGAAATAATATAATACATAATTGTAATGTTCCCTGTTACTACGACCGGTCTGGCCTTGCAATTTTGAACATAACAAATTGGCATTTTTAGCATTAATATCACACTGTTATTTAAAATGAAATTCAATAAGCAGCCATATTGAATTTCGCATAAAAGTTCAAAGCGTAATTGATTGACTGTCCCTCACTATCTTTGACCTACTGCACATCCATCGGAATGGTTTATTCATGGTCCTTTCTTCTTACCTATGGTATATGTCACGTGAACTATAGAATTTTAGTACTGGCAATGAATTTTAGAACAATTTCAGTAAACTGAGTTCCAAAACTTGCAATTTGAAAGAGGTTAGACGACAATTTTCCGAAAAATGGAGAGGATAATATTGGTACCAATGAAATCCTCTAAAATAAAATAATTTTAGTTTCTATGGATTAATAGCACTGTTCAAATAATAATCTGCACATCCTTTTTGACATATGCGCAGGAGTGTAATAAGTATTATATATCAGAATGTGAATATAAAATACATTATAGTATTATAGTAATAATAGTATTAATATTAATATATTAATTAATTATTATATTATAATTAATAGTATTAATATTAATATATTAATAATTAATATATAACATTAATATATGTAATATTTATCATTGTTTTTACTTTATGTTCTCACTTATTATGTTTTCACTTATTTGTCTTTATTTAATTTATTTAATAAAATACTATAATGTATTTTATATTTACATTCTGATATAAATACTTATTACGTATACTATTATGTATATACTATTATGTATACTCGAAAGAGGATTAAAGGCTTCTTCCACCAATCTTTGATTAAACTAATCGACGGTTAACTCGACTATCATGATTGCCAACAACTGAGAACTAAACTATTTATCATATATTATAGATAAGTGTTAAAATTTTATTTAAGCGATGAATTGTTTGATAATTTTTATTTACATTAATTATCGGATATTATTTACAATTTTATCTACCTATCAAGATACCTACAACACAAAAAGAATATTAAGTTAAAGAACATTACTTTCACACATTATTTTCTGAGCATTAAATTACAGTTGGCATCTCTGGCGAGTTAACTATCGGTTAACTTATCCGAAGATTGGTGAAAGAGGCCCTAAGCCAGCGGCATACGATCATATGCATTGAGTTATATAATTATATAGGCTGGATTTCATAAAGCGCATATACGCATTTTGTTATATTATACATGTATAGTATACGTGACATGAATTATAGATAAATGCGCTTTACGGAATCCAGCCATAATATACTGGGTTAGACGACAATTTCCCAAAAAATGGAGGGGAAATACGCTCTATGTGAAAGAAGGCTTTCAGAATGGCGTAACGTGTTTAGTAAAATACTAGAATACGCAGATCACGCTTACGCAAGTTATGCCGCAAGTGACAGCACCCTTAAGGCTATCAGACTAGCGGTTGCGCGGCTATGGTTGCTTACGATTCTATTTCAGCCAATCACAATGTAGCAGGTCCTAGTTATGATCAATGATTGATAATAGTAAAATCGTCAACCAGCAACCGTAGCCGAACAACCGCTAGTCTGATATAGCCTTTAGGGTGCCATAACCTGCTATATTATGATTGGCTGAAATAGAATTGTCAACCGGCAACCGCTAGTCTGATATGGCCTTAAGGCTGACGTCCCATGGCGCGGAAATTCACAGCGAAACGGAATGCCCGAATCAATCACAACAAAAGAATGAACAGAATGAACGAGTTTTCTTTTGGCTCTTTCGCTGTGATTGGTTCGCGCGTTCCGTTCCGCTGTGGATTTCCGCGCCATGAGACGTTAGCTTCAGTGGACTGTAGCTTAAAATTAATCTACATTAGTAGACACGGACATTATAAAAATTTTATATAATTGTTACAAGCAAAATCTATTATTGGAAATAATCTTCTTTTCCATGTTCATCACAAGTGAAACAACGAGAGGAATATATTTATCGCGGATAAAAATGCTTTAGCATATAGTTTGAAGAAAGAATTGTCGCTTGGATAAAACACCTATAAAAAATGCGTAATGCTATGTTTAATTCATTGTGCATCGAAATCATTCGTGCTGTTCGCAATGCAAAATTTTTCAAAGGTCCGCAAAGGTCAGGAATTATTCGTTATTAAGAATTTTTACTCTTAAATGAAAAATATTGGGAGATTATTTTATTGACTCTGATACTTTCTAGGAAGTGGACGTATTCATTGAATAAGTATTTTTCCACACATATAACGTCTGATGTAGAATATGATGTGCCGGTTGAAGCCATTCGCAATTTCAGCATAGTTGCACATATTGATCATGGTAAAAGTACATTAGCGGACAGACTGTTGGAATTAACAGGGGCTATAAAGGTGAACTCTGGTAAACAAGTTTTAGATAATTTACAAGTAGAAAGAGAACGTGGGATTACTGTAAAAGCACAGACGGCTTCGCTGTTTTATTCATATCAAGGGAAGAAATATCTTCTAAATCTTATTGATACACCAGGTCATGTTGATTTCTCAGCAGAAGTACATCGGTCCCTAGCTCCTTGTCAAGGAGTCATACTACTGGTTGATGCTAATGATGGTGTTCAGGCACAAACAGTAGCAAATTACTATCTAGCGCAAGAGAGGAATCTTGTGATAATACCAGTAATCAATAAAGTGGATTTGAAGAATGCTAATCCAGACAAGGTTAAGAAACAGTTGCAAGTATTGCTCAATGTTGGGAATATAGATGTTCTTAAGATATCTGCCAAACTGGGCATTGGTGTCGATAAAGTTTTGAATGCTGTAGTAGAAAGAATTCCACCACCTGTAGTAGATAGAGATAAGCCTTTTCGAGCATTAATATTTGACAGCTGGTATGATAAGCACAAAGGAGCAATTTCTTTAATTTATGTAAAAGATGGAACATTGACAGTTGGCAAACAAATTAGTTCTGTATTTATGAAAAAATCATATGAAATTCGAAGCATTTTTTTACTCAGACCTCATGCGGAAAATGTAAAGACAATGTAAGTGAGTATAATTATTTGGCTTGTTTTATTAAAATAATTATATTTTATATTGTTGTGAATCTTTCAAATAATTGTATATATACAGGGTGATTCAAAACAACCGTTTGTCCTTAAAATGTCATATTCCTGAGACAATTCTAGGACGATTTTTCCTCTATCAAATTTTTATCAGAAGCTTAGTTTTTTAATTATAAGGGAAAACAGTTCGGGCTGCGTACAGAAGATAGGCAGGGGCGACGCAACTCAGCGGGCGTCTGACGCGAGTGATTACATATGCGTGTGCGTGCACCGCGCGCGCGTGTGTGTGTATGGGGTAAGATGCATGTGTTGCATGTATCAATACTGATTGCATCGAGTGCCTCACGTAATCGCCCATGTCGGATAGTGAGTTGCACCGCTCCTGCCTATCTTCTGTATGCGGTCTGTAATTCGCGAACTGTTTTCTCTTATAATATTCAAAGACTAAGCTTCTGATAAAAATTTGGTAGAGGAAAAATCATCTTAGAATCGACTTAGGAATATGACATTTTAAGGACAAACGGTTGTTCTGAATCATCTTGTATATATATGTATGTGTATATATACAGAATGTAAAAAACTTTAAATATATGTATGATAATTTATGTGTTATTTAATGCAGTGTAATGTATCTAGATTTGCTGGTCAAGTAGGTGCTATTTCATGCAATATGAAATCTAAAGAGGCTCATATTGGAGACACTTTGCATTTACGGAATCAGCCTGTTGATTCTCTGGAAAGATTTAAACCATTGAAATCAATGGTGTTTGCAGGTGTATATCCAATGGATCAGTCACAATTTGACTCTTTACAGAAAGCTATCGACAAGCTTACATTAAACGATAGTTCTGTAAATGCTGTTTTAGAATCGAGGTAAGGTTTTGCCATTTATAAGATTTGTAATATTTATATATATTAAGGCAATATCGATTGTTGGAGATATCGATTGAGGCTGCGTTCCGATATTCACTGCCAGTACTGAAAATCTATAATACACGTGACCTGAGCTATATATTTTCAATACTGGCAGTGAATATTGGAACGTAGCCTGAGTCGATTATTTTCAGACAAGGTAATCTTTTTATTGATTATACAGAATTAAAAATCCTTTTCCAAAATTGAAGTATAGACAATAACGCACTCGGATGTATATTTTATATAAAAGAGAAAAAAAAAGTTAGAAAATTACAGTTTTGTTATCGATTTTTGAGGTCAACTTGTGACAACATTTTGCTGTACACAAAAGTTTAGACTTTGAATATATAAACAACACATACTCACCCGGAATTATAAGGAAGAATAATATTATGCTTTTAAAAATGTACCTAATAGCTATATATAAGAGAATACTTTGCCTGCAAATTTCATGAATATGTATGCGTGTCTGTATATATGAGGATATGTATGTTAGATGTATATGTGTGAACATTTTCGTCAGAGTTCGCTCGTCAGTCCAGCATCGCCTTAAGGCCCATATTCTGAATTTTCTTTTATTGAAAAACATGCCTCTAAATGTGGCTTATAGCCAATCGGAAAGCTTAAGTCACTTTTAGAAGCATTTTTATCAATAAAAAAGAATTCAAAAGTGGTTTAAGACTCAATAATATAAAATTTTATTATTATTACAAAAAACATTCATGTGTTATAGCGTTGCACTTGGACGAGGATGGCGAATTGGCTTTCTAGGCTTATTACATATGGAGGTCTTCATTCAGCGTCTTGAACAAGAATATAGTGCACAGCCAATAGTTACAGCACCCTCAGTAACATATAAAGCAAAGATTTTCGGTAGTAAAAATATAACAAAATATCAAGGCGACACAGTACTCTTTAATAATCCAGTAAATTTTCCAAACCCTCAGATAGTTAGTGAATTTCATGAGCCAATGATTGTAGCAACTATCATCACGCCAGGTATTTGCGATTTAATATTAAAATATAATTTGAATTATACAAAATCATAAATTCAAGAATAAAGAAAATTTTATTTTGCGTTTTTGAATATTCTGCTCAGAGATTTTACATGATAACATTTTCAATTTTTATTTTTATTATTTAATAAATATTTGTAAATTAATCAATATATTTTGAAATATATAGATATATATATGAAAGAAATTGTGTCACTTTGCTGGGAGAAGCGTGGTGTAGAAAAATTGACCAAGACGATTAGCGATGATAGATTTATGTTACAATACATAATGCCATTAAGCGAAGTAATTTTTGACTTCCACGATTCTTTAAAGAGCATAAGCTCTGGTTATGCTAGTTTTGATTATGAAGATTATGGTTATCAATTAGCTGATATAATAAAGGTAATTATTATATAAATCATCCTGCTGCTAATATATTTTTTTTTCATAATTCTGGTTTTTTATTAATGGACTATATTTTTGATACCTAAATGTTAGTTAGATATTTTGCTAAATGGAAAAGTAGTTGAAGAATTGTGCACAATTGTACATAGATCAAAAGCATATGAAATAGGTAAGAAGTTGTGCATCAAACTTGTTGATACCATTCCTCGACAACTTTTTGAAATAGCAATTCAAGCGGCGATAGGAAACAAAATAATCGCGAGAGAAACTTTGAAGCCTCACAGAAAAGACGTAACGGCAAAATTAGTAAGTAAATATAACACCATATACCTTATTGTGTTGATAGAAGTAGATTTTTGATTTAAGAGTTATTGTGTTAATATTTGTCTCCCTTTTTAGTATGGTGGCGACGTTACCAGAAGAAAGAAATTGCTGGCACAGCAAGCAGATGGAAAGAAGAAAATGAAAATGATAGGAAAAGTTTCCTTACCACGAGATACTTTTATAAATGTGCTGAAAAGATAATAATGAATTTATATGATATACATTATTATTCATTTGAAAAACCGGACGTAAGTTTATTATTACAACAAAATAATGTAAACACATGTATGTGAAATCAATTACAATACAATCTGTTTTTGTTAAAGGTGCATATAATTGAAAAATCCTTGAAATTATCAGATTAATCTCGCCAAAAGAGTTATTAATTTGAATTATTATTAATTTGAATTGTAACAGAGCATCTTTCGGATGCTCTGTTACTAGCGCGCGCAAATGCGGCCCGCGCCATCCGAGGCCGCCCGAACACTCCCGACCGCGACCGACCGACACACGCGCGCCGACGAGCTGTCACGCAGCGACAACGTGACAGCTATTGTTACATTAACAAACGCTAACAAACTAAACGGTGACACGTGGCGCGGATAGGGGTATAAATACCCGACGAATTTTAAGACAAGAGACCAGTCCCATCCGCTCCTCCGACCTGTCCAACACCGACAACCATTCCGACCAGAACAGCGAGAGAAAATTCTCTCAGCGAATACCGAGCGTTCTCCGTATTCCTGTTCTATCCTTTCTCGAGAATTCGGAGTGTTCTCAGCTTTCTCGTCCTCGCAACGAATACCGAGCGTTCTCGATATTCTTGCATCTCCCGTCTGGGGAAAATCGGAGAGTTCTCAGATTTTCCTCCTCCCGACAATACCGAGAGTTCTCAGTATTGTCACTCCATCTCATCTCGAAAGTCGGAGCGTTCTCGGACTTTCCCGCGACGTCCGCCCCACGTGTCACGGCTAGCGTCACGGTTGCCTAGCAACGCACACGCGCGGGCCCGGTTGCCTGGCAACCCGCATACCGATACGAATACCGGCATCCGACGAGCGAAAATCCGAGCGCACGTCCCCGCGTCCGTGCCTAGCGACAAAAATCCGAGCGCGCAGGGACGTACCGTTACAGAATTATTATTAATTTGAATTATTATTAATTTGAATTTCGCGCTTTTTCAGAAGGCAAGAAATAGAGTGCCGTTCCATGGAACATATCACGCGTATCGTGGATCACGCGTATAAAAAAATCTGATCAATCGCGGACGTTCCACTATTTTCGATACGTAGCCGCTCTGCCGAATCCATTAGTGTCGGTCCACAATAGGTGATTTAAGCTTTAAGAAGTAAGAAATTGACCAATTCTAATCGAATATGAAAAGAATAATCGATTATGATAGGTCAATTTCTTATGATTTAAAGATTAAATACTTATTGTGGACCGACACTTAAAGTGTCATCACATGCGGCGTAACTTGTGTCGGTCAAACATCGTTTCACTTGAACATCAGAATCCGCCTAGTTACTTTATACTGTTTACGCCTTGCCTTTAGATCTTAATTGAATCTAAGGGTAGAAACCAATCATAATAAAGAATCACTGAATGCTCACTAATTTGCTCTCTTTGCTGAACGCAGCCATTATTGTGACGCTAAATCTAATTTTTTGCGGAAGAAACACAATGAATAATCAGAATAATTAGAGCTTTTCGGCAACATGAATAAAGATCAAATCAGGATAAGTTAATTAATATTGATTAATTAAATCTTTATATATATA